AACGACGAGCCGTAAGTTGAATTGCCGGGCGTCTAGAGACCGATGTCGTCAGCCGGTTGGCAGATGTTGGGACAGACGCACCACACCCAGTTGACGAGTGACGAGACGACTGACGAGTCACGAGTGACAGAGTTTGGGCGGCCGGAAACTCGCACCGACAAACTGCTGTATCTTCAGCAGCCCACATTGGAGTGTCGTGGCTGAACCTTGAGTCCAGGCAGCTCAATCCGAGTGAAAGACAAGGTGTGGTCTTGGAATCCCGTTTGAGTGGCGAGCTATCACGTCGGGACAATCTCTTCTTCAATCTCCGCTGCGGCGCACCAGTCGTTGGGTCAGTTCAGACTCAGTTCTGCCTCAGAACCATCTATTCAGTTCCTTAGAATACATCCATTCTCTTTTTATCATTCCGTAGATCAAAGGTCTTTTTAGATCCAAGACCGAGAAGGTTTGATTCAAACAACAAAGAAGGAAAAGAGCACTGCGGGCTCTCTTACTGTGGCATCGCGGACATGTCAATAGCAGCCATTACAAATGCATCCTTAAGCTTCCGACATACCTCAGCGTTTGACCTCTTACCTGCACCACTTTGTGCCCCAGGCGGTGACCTTCCAGTGCCTATAGCGTTTGACCTTTGACCCCTGTTTTCCAGGCGGTGACGTTCCAGTGTCTGCAGCGTTTGACCTCTGACCTCTGTTTTCCAGGCGGTGACGTTCCAGTGCCGCTAGCGTCTGACCTCTGACCTCTGTTTTCCAGGCGGTGACGTTCCAGTGTCTGCAGCGTTTGACCTCTGACCTCTGTTTTCCAGGCGGTGACCTTTCAGTGTCTGCAGCGGTTGACGTGGGACGATATTCGTCTGAGGTACCGGTCGGCCCCGGCGGCGGGCGGACTCGTCATCTCACACGCCACCGCAGGTTAGGAAAGAACGGCAGTCGGCAACGCTGGAGCCTCGAGCTGAAGTCTTTCCTTGAATATCAAAAGCCATTGTTGAAATTAAAAACATTTGATATTCGGAATTATGGCAAAGGGTAGAGCTCGGTCGGGACGGTCAGTGTCGTTGATCATCTGGGGCTATACGGCAGCATGTTTCATTGTTGAAAAGCTGTAGGTTAACGTGTAAAAATTCGTTCGTTAAGCAATTCGTTCAATTCGTTCAAATTCGTTCATAAATTCGTTTAAGCAATTTTCATTGGCTTTTGGAGTCGTGTTCACCGTTCGGCCTTATCAGACATGTGCATGGATCCGAGAAAATGGATCTGGGATCTGACCTCACGGATCCTGATCTCGGATCCGAGGGGATCATAGATCCAGCTCTTTGATTTATGCAGAGATCCGTAGGGATCTTAGATCCGAATCTGATTTTTTGCTTGAGATCCATTGATATCATAGATCCTCACTTTTTTGTCAACGCATAATAAAAGACCTTGTTGCAACTCGCAAACGTTACGTTTAGTGATTTTATGTGATTGCACGTCATAATCCATAGTTTTGTAGCACTTATTGGCTTAGAAACACTTGGAAACGTTCCAAATGTTGCTCATGGCGGGATCCATTTAGATCATATATCCTCGCTCTTGGTTTATCGTCAGATCCTATGAGATAATAGATCTATGATTTTTTTTTTCACGACGGATTTGGTGGGATCATGAATCCTAGCTTGCAGTTTGCTCCGAGATCCACTGAGATCATATATCCATTACTGGGATCCATGCTTATGTCTGGGCCTTCTGCTCCTAACATGTCAATGTTGCTGTTCTCAGGGGTGCCGACTGCGCCCCGGATATGGCTGCCGTCGCTGATGTACCCGCGAGCGCTGATGGTCGACTTCGATAACTCCATGGATAACTCGTTTTTGGTTCGACCGAATGGCACTATCACCTGGCAAAGAAGGTATTTCGAACCATTAAAAGACGGTCTTTTGGTGACAAACGAGTGAGCGCATTTGTGGGTCCTGCTCGTGCGCACATGCAAAGCGAGACTTTCCACCTGGCTTGTCCAGGCCACTACATATACCTAGTTATCGGACACTCGGTCCGCTTGTGCTTGCATTTTCCGGCCGAAAAACGAATTTTGCGCTCCGCGCTCCCTTTCGATGTCACTGTAATAAAGTATTGATTGAGGCTGCTTACTTTCAGGGTCCACGTGATGGTGCCTTGTGAAATGCAGCTGGATTCGTTTCCATGGGATGAAAACTCGTGTGTCTTCACGATTCGGCAGGGTATGCGTGAATGACAGTTGTATTTATATCACCCTGACACCAAACAATTGACGATAGGCAAGCATAGGCTGGAGGAGGATCTCTTTCGCCTTTATCCGAAGTGTTAACATTCGATATGTCCGTAATAAATAAATGGTCCTAATTATTATTTTTACTTTCAAATTGGTGGTCGTTGTAGCTTTTATGATTAGGTATTAGTGTTTCGTAAGACGTATGCTGTCTCTCAGACTGCTTGGTCCTATCACGTCAGACATATGAAAACAAACGAAATCCTATCACGTAAAACAGACAACCACGTGATAGTCTACGGTCAATCACGATAGGTGGTAATGGGCCAATGTGTCGAACAGCCAGCCCTCAGGAGCTGCCGTGGTATAAACTGTGTGCCACCTCCCTCCCCCTCCCCCGCCCCGCAGACCTGGACGGGGAGGTGTTGATGCTCAACTGGACCAGGGTAGCCGGACGGCCCGTGCAGGCCGGACCGCACTTCAGCGTCACCGGCTTTGAGCTCACCTCTCTCGGCGTCTCATCCTACACCGTCTCGCCCAACGACATCACAGGTCAGCGGTGACGTCAGTGTGTGACGTCAGTGGTTCGTCAGTGTGTGACGTCAGTGGTTCGTTAGCGTGTGACGTCAGTTAGTGCCATAGGTTAGGAATTCATAACAACGCCGTTGTTATGGATTCTATCGACTCATTCACCAAGGCTTCACTTAGCTCAGCGAGAAGATGAAATGTCATGAATTTAAGTGCACGTTGAAGTGCAGCTGTACTTGATATCGAATGTTCTTTTTGTCGTTTAATAACGATTTAGCTATTAGTCACCGAAACGTCGATTACTTACAGCTTGAGTATCACCATATAAATTGCACCTTTCCCTGTTTTCTAGATGTTATTCCTGAAGTGCATGTGTATTGCGTGAACGCCGACTCTACGTTCCAGGCGAATCATTACGCTCCAAGTCGCTGGTGATGCGAGTGACGTTGAAGCGGCAATCCGATTATTACGTCATCAATGACGTCATACCCACTTCGATACTGGTGGTGGCCGCCTACATGACGTTCTGGCTCCCTCCAGAGGGTAGGTTCAACGGGGAATGTGCATTGTTGTGCGGTTCGCCGGTAGTGGTGATGGTTCACGCAACCTCCTCTCTAGTCTCTTCTCTTCGCTCTCACTCTTTTCTTAGTGGACAGTGGTGGTGGTTCGCTCGAGGACCCCCCCCCCCCCTTCTCGTCCTCCCTCACGGTGATGGTTCGCTAACCTCCCCCTCCCCCTCTCTCCCTCAGCGGTGACGGCTCGCTAACTCCTCCCTCTCTCGCTCTCTCTCAGCGGTGATGGTGCGCTCCCTGGTCAGCTCCTTCATGCTGCTGGCCTGTTTCCTAGTATCGGCCATCACCGGTAGGGCGGCGCCACTGGCCACCTCGCTGACGGCACTGAACGTGTGGAACCTGGTGTGTCTGGTGCTGCTGCTGTGGCCGCTGGTGCAGAGTCTGGTCGTGTACCACATGTCCCGGAGGCCGTCCGGCGGCGGCGGCTCCGGAGAGAGTGGAGGGGTCGGCACTCTGCCCAAACCGATGGAGCTCAACGGGAACGGAGAGGCAGACGTGGAGGTGAGCGGAAAACAAACGGGATGGGGAAATGTATCGAGATCACCGAACAAGTGACAGAATACGTTGCACAGTTGTCGGCATTTACGTACACAAAAGTTTTTTATCGATGTTTGTACCAAAACAGGGTTATGGTATTCATTTACTCAGATAATGAGCATCGGAAAAATGTGTCAAATGTCACTAAAATACCTCAGTGGGACTACGACATGACTACACTCTACAGCGCTGACAAGCTCTGCCCGTTGCTCCCCGGTTTCAGGCCATCAGCCCGGACCCGTCGCTACCGCCGCCGCCGGCCGAGGCCGAGCTGGGCCCGCTGCCGCCGCGCCCCAGTCTGCGTCCTCAGATGGTGGATGTCGTCAGCCGGGTGCTCTACCTGCTGGCCTTCGTCGTCACGGCCATTGTGTTCGGTGTGCTCTACTCGTGAGCCTGGAGGTGGGAGAGGTGCGGGATGACGGAACGGTGGCGTGTTTCGTGAGAGTGGCTCAGGAGGTGGCGCAGTGGTACCTATGGTGTAGTGTAGGATGGTGAGTGAGGAAGGACTAAGGATATCAGCGAGGAAGCCTGGACGCTGGAGAGAGATCAGTGACACAGTGAAGGTATGACGAACGTGTGTGCATAGGTGGCTATTCATTATAGATATGGTGAACGGTGACAACAATTTGAAACGTGTTTCGATGGCCGGTCGGTAATACTCAGAACAGCCACAGCGTTTACATACATTGATAAACAATATGCAACGAAGAGGAAAAAAAGGTGTTCCAATTTGGGTGTGCCTTTTCATAATATGAAGTTAGTGCCAAATTGATGTGTGTGATGTGAGCATTAATATGTCAAACGCTATAAGCGTTTATAGCGTACACGATACCGAATGAATGCGTAATAATATGCCAGAGTAAGATTTATAATGAGATATATGCTTAGCCTAAACAAAGGGGCTGAAGCGGTTATTCAGGCTCTGTTGGCTTGGTTTATCAGCTCCCAGTAGACAAGATATTTATGTAATAAATAGTTGGACCCGAGACGGGGACTGCCTTGATCGATTCGCTGGTCCGGCAAATGTCACTCACAGAATGTGGCAAATTTCCGCATAGTTCCAGACGTTATCATGGTAGTCAAAAGCCTTATACGCTGGAGGCTTTCATGTCTTACGGGAAGAAGTCCGTAGGTAAACACTTATCGCTACAAAACACGAGCCATATTTATTGCACAACAACAATAACGGAGACACTGCATGGCGACCAGCACAGGTCGCACAGGCTGAGAAAACAATACCTCATAATCACGTGACATCTCTATCCGGCCGTACGTCTGGTCATGTGACTCGGGCGAGCACGGGAAGCGCCGGAGATCCCCATCTGCCCCCGTTCCTCCTGGAAGAGACGCTAGCGCCGCCACTCACACACATGGAACATCGGCACTGGACACGGACCATTCGCACCGCCCGCGCAGAGGCTACGTCTGCGGCGTGGGGTCAGCGTTCGGCGGCGGCGGCGGCGCGGGGGTCTGGACCGACACCGGGTGGACGGCGGGCACCTCCGTGGGCGCCTCCTTCCTCCTGCCGCCGCGGATCCAGCCGCGGAACAGCCGCGACGACACGGACGAGTCTGACGGCAGGTCGTTCTCGACATCGCTGCGCTCCTCGGGGATGTCGGCCGGCTTGGAGGCCAGGATCTGCGCGGCGCGACTGCGCATCGACGACACCTGTTTGACGAGGGAGCGGCGCCGGCCGACCGCCGGCCGACGGTCGGTCGGCTGCTCGGCGATCAGGTTGTTCTCGTACTCGCTGAGCACCAGGTAGTTCTCCACCTTGTTGCATGACGTGATGTCGCCCTGCAGCAGGTTCAGTTCGAGCTCGATGTCCTCGAACAGGGCGTCCGGCAGGTCCATGTCGGCGATGCCCTCCTCCGAGATGCAGGTGAGCTCCTGTTTGCGCAGCTCGTGGCTGCTGTTGACGGCCGCCACCCTCTGCTTCAGCAGGTTCAGCACACGCTCATCCACATCAGGCAGCGAGTCGGCGCGGTCCCGGGGCGTCTCTGGCGGCTCTGCGCGCGCCTCGCCGCCGGACGCCGGCTCGTGACGGTGCCGGTGCGCCCGCCGTCGGCCCCGCCGCCGGTGGAACGCGATCAGGAAGATGCTGATGCTGCCGATGACGACGAACGTGGCGCTGAAGTAGTAGCCCGCCTTGCCGCCCACGGCTACGTTGATGTACCCTGCAAATCAGAGATAAACGTCAAATGAGAACCTGGTAGAGTCACCACCTGAGACGGTCTGTGAAAATTCGGATTCAATGCCGACTAGGGAAGAGTAGGTATCTATTGGCAAAAGTTCGATGCCCTTTCATCTGGAAGTCATGTGCCACGTGTGCACCGTTTAGTCCTGTTAGTGCCCAAAACTTATGCCGAAGTAATAAGTGAACCACTACATTTTAATCCAGCACGCTTTCACTGGAAACGGGACATCGATTTCAATCGACACACGAACTCACATAGACCTTTGTGTACCAAAGTCTGTGCCTCAGGTATACCGAGGTCTGTGGAACTGACGATGCCCTTTCCCCCGTCAAGCATTGCCCCACTCTCACCTGTGACCGGCACGCCTATGACCATGGGCAGCGCTTGGCTGCCCTGGACGAAGCCCCACGTCTTGGCGAAGTTCCTCGCTCGCACCTTCTCGTAGGTGCACATCTTGAGGCTGTACTGGTAGCCGCCGTAGAAGAGGCCGTACAGCCAGGCGAAGAGCACGTAGCCGCTGTAGCCGCGTACGGCGGGAAGCGCCAGCTGGCAGGCGCCGCAGAGGAAGGACGAGGCCTGACACAGGTACTGTCGGCTGATCCGACACTCCTGGCGGCACGGGGGAGTGGTGGAGACAGTTACTAAAACACAGAGGTGTCAGAGGTCGTCCTAACAGGACACAGAACAGGGAGCAACCAGAATGAGAGGAAGTCAGATATCAAAGTCACTGTATTCAGTAGGACCACGACATTTTACCCTATCCACGAATGACGAAACTCCACAACCAAGAAACCCAGCCCGTCTTGTACTTTCATTTCATCCTGCATACCCAATGGCCCAGCATAACGATAGGACGGGCACACTGGACGTAGGCAAACACACAGAGTGTTGCTGTATATTTTTGTCTGTTTACTGATGGACCTCTCGTCCCAGCTGCCAACGGTGAGTTATTCGACCGCCGTCTCCGTCCACAAACACAGCATCCGAGTGGTAACAGGCCACATATCGGTGACGCAACAAACGGACCGGATGGTCAGTGGACCTGCGGAACCGACCGCTCCTTCCTCCTTGACCCATCGCCAGGAAAAAGATTGACAGTATTGGAAGGCATCAATTGTTCTTAGTGTGTGCCATAGAGCCGATATTGCACACGAATGCGTTTTCACCGTAACCCCGCCCATTTTACCGTGAAAGGAGCCACTCTTCATTACTAGCCACTCTTCATCGCTGACAGGGTAACCGTCTCACCTGGTTATTTCTGACGACGACAAACCCGAAGGCCCAGCAGCCGAGGGCCCAGCCGAGGCCGAGGTAGGTCTGGAGCAGCAGCACCGAGCTCTCGCTCAGCCCGTCCTGCTGCGCCTGGTGGGCCTACCACACAGAGGGCAGCACAGTCGGTGACAAGCTTATCACAGGTGGCGCTCGGCACTCGCCGGCAGAGGGCGGGCAGGTTCACAACGCTCTCAGCCGTAACTTCACTGTGGTGAACAGGAGCGACGGAACAGTAGGTACCCACACATCCAGCGAAGCAAAAGTGCCGTTAACAGGTCCGTACCGCAGTCTGTACATATGTAAGTACCAACGGACTGGACGCCGATTTGTTTCGTGGGCACCCATACACTCACCATGTAAATGAGCGGGGAGTGGAGTCCCACGGAGCTGAGGCTGGCAGACACCAGCAGGATGCGCACCGTCTGCGACTTCAGCATGGAACAGTCGAAAAACGGCGGCTTCTCGTCCACTTTGTTCTTACCCTTTACCTGCAATTATATTGGAACGCTCATTGAGACATTTAGCAATAGCGACCTGGAATAGGTGCAGCAACCCGGAAAGCTACTGTTGTAATTTTGCTTAAAAATGACACGGTAAAAGGGAGTCAGAATAGTGGCAAAACACTTTTTGCGAGGTCAGTCACTATTGCACTTAATGGCTAGCATTGTCGGTTCTGAGCGAGAGCAATTTTATTGAAGCCGATTTAGAAAGCCAGGCCTACCTAGTACCTACCTTTTTCTTGGAATTCTTCAGATGTAGGATGGCTCTTCGCTGTGGATGATACAATGATGCTGAACGATAAAATGTACCTAGCAGAAATGTGAAGAATATGACGCCCGTCACAGCTTGAAGACCTAACCTCCATCCCTCAGACCTGTGAACAAAGAAACACATCGCTTGTCAAATGACACTGGGCAATAATCCATAAGCGTGGCGAGGAGTGGTAAAAAAGATACGGTTTTCCTTGCTTGCGAAACTCAAGGCGGCACGGTGATGAGTTTCCGAGGAACACTATTGAGTGGCTATTGACTTCCAATCAACTGTGTAAACGGCAATTTTTTTAGCGTCTTTAACTATAAAAATATGTGCATTTTGTTGAATGTGCTCAAGCATGGGCATTCAACGCTCGACAAGATCTGCCCTCGGAACACTAACCAGCCGAGGCTGACAGCTCAGGACACCATAGATTCACGGCATCGACAGTTAGGTACAATCTGCCGAAAACATTACTGCCCCCCCCCCCCTCCCCTCCCTCCAACGGTTCCTGACCTGGGTCATGAGCGGCAGCTTCACTTAGCAATTAATCAGTGATTGACAGCGATATTCGCTCAATAATGGCAAATAAGTTGCACCCAGTGACAGCCAGATCAATGTAACATCTCCCGGAACATTTCCGGGTCATTTCTGATAGCTCAATTCTGTGGCAGACCACTATTGAGCCCACAAGCTGGGAGACATTTCTAGGAAGCCGGTCTAAGGCGATTGGTTGTCACTTGATCAAAATGATGTTCTTGGATACACAACAATACTTTTGAATAATGGAATATGAACTCTGCTATTCTAACAATGAAAAGACGAAAGCACTTATAACTATAAGCTTCACTAAAGCAGCCTTCTTTTCCCGTACGAAGTTTTTAATGGAAACATGTCCAGTCCCCTGCTGGCAGTGTCTGAGCGGCTGTGGTCGCCATATTGCTCCAGTCCTCACCCAATGGCTCCGTGCAGGAAGGCCGACATGACGGCCAGACCGACCCCGCTGCCCGACAGAACCACCGTCTCGACGAGCTCTCGGCGCCGCTTGAAGTACTGGCCCACCATCAGCGTGGACGCGTCCCGGGTCATGGAGACGCCCACCGCTGCAGGGAGGGGACAGAAGGGTCAGAACAGGGTCTCAGCAGGGGTCCGGTCAGGGCAGGGTCACCGCAGGGGCCAGAGCCGGGTGAGAAAAGGGTCAGGGGTCAGAGTAGGGTCACAGCAGGGCCAGAGCGGGGCCAGAGTCGGGTCAGATCAGCGTCAGAGCAGGGGTAAGGTCAGGGGTCAGAGAAGGGTCAGAGCAGGTCAGAGCAGGGGTCAATTTAGCGGTTAGGTCAGGGGTCAGGGCGGGCAACGGGGTCAGAGTAGGGTCATGGCAGAGTCACAGCAGTGGTCAGCGGTCTAGAGAAGGTCAGTGGTCATATCGAGAATCGAAAACGTCTGTGGGCTGCAAAAGATTATGTGGAACGGTAATCAACAATCAATGTTTTTGTTGCATGTGTCATTTAACAGCGAGAACAATCTCTGAAACATTTGAAAGATGAGTAATCATTTCCTATGGTTTGCCCAGATCGTCCTATCCGACGCGGCACATTAGCTGGCTACCAAAGTAGGTAGACCAAAGGGTGACGGAAATTACTGAACTCTGTACCTGGTGAACAAGAAGTTAGGGGTAACTTCCGATCGAAAGGCACACCCACTATGACTCACCGAACACAGCGCCGTACGAGAGGAAGAGCTGATGGAAGCGCGATGCGAATGAGGTGAAGAGGATGCCCAGCGCGGCGACCAGTCCGCCAATGACTGCCGTCAGTCGGGTGGACTTCCTCCGGCAGATGGCGATCGTCAGCGGCGAGATGAGCAGCGAAAACCCCAGCGAGGTGGCGCCCAGCCAGCCTGGGGAGATAAGGAGCAGCAGTCAGTACAGCGAGAACCACACACCCTTGCTCAGTACAGCGAGAGCCCCAGAGAGGTGGCGCCCAGCCAGCCCGAGAGGAAAGGGGGCAGCAGTCAGTACAGCGAGAAACGAGTAGAAACGAGTCTCCAGTGGCGGTCCTCGGGCAGTCCGCTCCAAAGTCGCTCATTTCCCGTCCCTCAGGCTTTCACTATATCCGTCTCATCAGCGTCAGAAGTTCAGAGTTCAGCCTCGTCCATGCCGGGAGGCGCCTCTACCTTCCCACTGCCGAAGGACCCCCACCACAGCTTCATTAGACTCCGTCCCGGCGTCCGGCCAGATGCTATCGCTGCTACAGATAACATCGCTAATTGACGCCGCTCTATAGCTTAATCTGCCGCGATTCAGCGCTCCTAATGACGGCTGCAGGCCCGCGCAGTGATTACAACGCCGGCGCATTATTTAGTGGAAGCTTGGACCTCTTCAGATATTATGGCGGAACAATACAGCAAGCTGCAACAATGGTGTACCTTATTCGGCGCATGATTCGAACATGGAGAGGATCTCATCAGATGCAGCGTGGTGCTGAACTAGTGTCATGCTCGCACTTCATCGATCAACTTAAGCGTTTGATTAATAGCCATGAACAAAGTGGCATGTAAGTCATCTTGTAAAGATGATTTACTTTTGCAAAGGCAGATCCATCACTATGGGGTGAACGCTGATCAGATATTCATGAGCTCGAATGCATCGCGGTCTTCTAAACACTCATCTGAATGATCCGTGATCACTGAGGCATCCATATTTTGCTTCGTACGTTGACATTGACTGCTTAACGTAAATCGATCGGTAGGGGAGAGTGGGGTAAGATGCCCAGGGTGGGAAAGACGCCCCACCCCCTCTAGCGGCGAAACAAAGAATCGAACCTGGAAACTAATGTTCTTTGCTTAAAGCGGAAGCCTGCCGTGTTAACTGCACAAAAATTTGCGAAGCTTAGTTGGGCAACGGCTGGCTGGTGATTGCATGCTTTTTATTTGCTGCTTTCAAAAAATATTTTGGTGTCAAAACATTGTAAATATCAAAGATTGTAGATAATTTTTGCGTCCCTTGCTATAGTCGTGATACATTGACATGCGTGTACTGTGTCCCAAACACTTTGTTTCAGGGTGTAGTTTTATGGCTAACAAATTGTACTGATTTGATGTTGCTTCGGTACCTTGGGGTAAGATGCCCCCTGTCCTGATGGGGAAAGACGCCCCCCCCCCCCCTAAATCCGTAGGCTGTCCTTCAAGCAGCCCGTCAGATCATTTATTACATACTTGTGATGAGAGACAAAAGCCGATCTGGGACTATTGAGAGTCCAGTACGGTCGGGTGCTCCCCATGCAGGTCTCTCGGCCCACACAACGACTTTTTGGGCGGCATCTGACTCTGAGAGCCCTCACGACGACCTCTGTGGGTCCCATTATTGGCTCCAGGGCCCCTCGCGACATCCTTTGAGGGCTCCCACGTTGGCTCCACGGGCCGCGCTGGCATCTGAGGTCCCCACGATGGGCTCGAGAGCCCTCAAGCATCCTGAAGACCTATAAGGGCCCCACAGTGGTCTCCGAACGCCACCACGGAGGCTTGTTTGGCCGCGCTGGACTATGATGGCCCTAACCGAACGATGACCTCTGAAGCCCCTTACGACTACTTTTGAGGGCCCTTACGATGACGTTTGGTGTCTACTGCAGGCTCGAAGGGACTACTGATCGTTCAGGCGATTCACGTGCCCATTTATGTCACTTATAGTGCAGGGGGCATCTTCCCCAACGGCAGGGGGCGTCTTTCCCACCCTGTGGGGTAAGATGCCCCTTTCACTTCTTCAGGAAAATGCTTAATAGCAAAAAAGTTATCATATTTCAGGCACGAAAGTGTGATATTTTTGGAGAAAAATGATGTCGGCTTCCGTTGAAACTCCAAGTTTTTGCTTTCCGATCGTCATTTTCGAATAATATATGACATAGTAAAACCCTGGGCATCTTTCCCCACTCTCCCCTATATGCAATAAGAGGCATTCTCATCGGCCTGCTAGTCCAATGGAATCATGGTGAGTTTACTTATCATAATAGTAGAGTTATCGAATCGATAGCCCATGGACGCGTCTGGTTGTGAATGTGGATGCTTCTCAAAGACGTAAATTTGTTTGAAGGATTAACTTTCGGGCTAACCCGATTTTGTGTCGTGCTAACTTCACCTGGCCAATTCAGCTGACATCGTGAGATGTCAAAAGCTTGAGTCTTTATGTAAGTACACTCATCACCGCCTGCACATCGTTCATCAGCGAATTCCTTTTAACTCAAGTTTTCTTCTTTACCCAAGGAGTTGGCAATAATTTGTGCTGGGACTATGTTAGCAGTGAAATTCCTTCTGTAATTAATTTTCAGTCCACCGAACTTTGGCTAATAGCTCTCAGGCCTCAGTAAAGAGTTAGAGAGCAAAAGAGTTAGAGACCAGACCCTCGAGACTGTTATTTGGCTCCGTAGAATGTGGATAACAATTACGCCTGTAACGTAAGCATATGTGATATAAACTTCTGCAAAGGAGGTTATCTCGGTGTCTTGATAGGACAAAAGCTATTTCGCGTGATGTGTAAATAAATGATTTGCTCAGAAAACTATATACGAAGAACATGCTAATAGCCTAATGATTTTTACTAATTTGCAGTACTCCTAGGAGAAACAGCATTAAACAAATCGTGAAATTAGTGCATCAAATTTTGACAATCATCGAACATACATAGTGCAATACCGTAACGTCGGCAAGTCCAGCACGTCCACTCGGCAGTCGGCGCATAAGACAGGCGCAGGCACACGCTGTTCGGAAAGCCCTGCCTGTGTTCGGACAGGTTACTAAACATCTACCAGACGGGCTTATTAGAGAATCCGGTCACAATGAGCGTAATCAACACATTGAAGCGTCCATACGTCTTCCTTTGTTCCGCCCCATGTGCAGCATCTGCAAAAATCTAAACGGTTGAATACAAGCTAAATGACTCGGACCTTTCAGGATGCCCGGGACTTGCAACATGCGCATTTGACTGATGACACCGGCTAGGTGACTAACAATGGCCGCCGCTGGTATCTGGGACCATTAGATTATTTGGGAGCGGGAGGGCCCCGCACGTTTGGGCCAGGGGAGGGCTGACCCCACCGATTGAGGGAGAGGAGAGGTCAGCGCTGAGCTATGCGCTCCCCGGCTGGGGCCATGACCTGAGATGGTGAATAATGAAATCTAGTATCTTCATTTGATTGTAAGTACATTCTACTTAGAGGGTTCAAGTTGAGCCCCCTAAGAAGAGTGAGTATTATAAAAGGTAAATTATCTGTATTGAAATAAGATTAACAAAAGACAGGACTGAGAGTGAGGGACGAGGGTCTACATATACACAGTCGAAGAACGATTATCTGTAAGGTAGTTTTTGGTGATGATAAGCAGCAGGTACGGGAGCTATAATGGAAGGCAATGACATGATAGCCCTGCAGCATGGCTGGGCTTTCCATTCCTTTTCTAACCACTTTAAATATTATACTGAACTGATCTTGTATGCCGCTCACGGGTTTTTAACATCAGACGAGATGGAATGAGGCGACTCGGAATATAATTTACATGCTCTAATTTATCGGATCGGTCTGACGGACGAGACTGGCAGCAAGGAAACATTCTTGACGATATTGGTCGACCCCAGGAATTCAAAGCAGTGTCATATTACCGAAAAGGGTAGATGAAATCAGTTCGATACCCAGTTGATGTAAGCTGTCCATATATCTTTCAGGAATCCGCATAGTCCAGTCACGAATTCGTCGGCCGTCCATATGTAATTTATGGATGGGCTCTATATGTAATGTGTATACGAATTTGGGGGAAAGGAAAGATTTATTTCTCTTCACATTGGAGATCATATCCCATAGTAAATTAGAAGACTGGATAGCGTCCCTTGTGAAGGATCTGATGAACTTTGCAAATCATGAATTGCCAAGTACCTAGGTATATTAAATTTGGATTTGGAGTATGTACATACAAATTACATTGAATCCTTTCCTAAGCACACACAGCATTTTAGACACACCATTGGCTCTAAAACCAAATGGTGATGCTAACGATCTCGCTGTTCTGATTGTTCAATCAGTGTAACATAAGTATTATTCATCCAAACCATTTAGCGAATGCCTCCAGTCAGACGGACGTTCAGTAATGATAATAGTTCGATGCTGAATTGCCACACTGAGCGGACGTTTTACAAATAGCTTCATCATCTGGATTGGTTGGCCGGCGCTAACTCAGACACCTGGTGCAATGATGAAATTCACAGCTGCCTTCGCGGAATAGCCGGCCAAATGTGTCCCCATTAAGGAGTGATTGGTGGATCGCAGGTAATAACGTTAGCAGTTCAGCCAGGGGCAGGGGCCCGGGAACGATTTTCAAGTTGGGGGGGGGAGCCTAAAATACCTGACATGATGCATATGAAGCAGTGACGTAGCTAGGGGTCTAAGGGGACAAGTACCCCCCCCCCCCTATCGGGTTCAAAGGGACCCTCGGGTCCGAGAGGCCCTGCGGCGCCATTTGACCGCTGAGGGTTAGCGATGGCCATATTTCGACTCAGAAGGGCCCCATGGGGCTCGTTAGAGCACCTCATGGGCCCTAAATAACCACACTAAGATCTCCATAAGGGCCCACGCCGGCTTCTGAGGGCCTTTTGCAGCCTTTTAAGGGCCCCTCGGTGGTCCCCAAAGGCCTATTACTGGCCTCTGAGAGTTCTTACCGGCCTATGAGGTGCCAGTGCTAGGGGCATTTCCCGCCTGTGATGGTCCCACACTTATTTTTCTGAGGGCCCCATAACGGCAACTGTGGAGGCCCTCAACGGCGCCTATGAGGGCTCACACAGGTGCCTCTGAGCGTTTCACTCCCCCCCCCCCCCCAACTCTGAGTGTCTACACTATTGGTGCCAATCGGAATTTCTTTTC